GGTAGCAACATCTCCAAGACCATCATGCTGAGCACAGGGGCTCCACAGGGGTGTGTGCTCAGCCCATTATTCTTCACATTGCTGACCCACCAACCACATTGTCAGGTTTGCGGGTGACATGACTATAGTTGGACTCATTACCAACAATGATGAGGCCAACTACAGGAGTGAGGAGTGCCAACTGATTCAGTGGTGTAAGGACAATAACCTTTTCCTCAATGTGGGGAAGACTAAAGAGATTGTTGTGGACTTCAGGAGGAAACCTCTAAAGCATCCCCCACTGACAATTGATGGTGCTGTAGTGGAGAGAGTGAGCAGCACCAAGTTCCTGGTGCACATCTCTGAGGACCAACAACACCACAACACCGATCAAGAAGGCTCAAACACGCCTCTACTTCCTCCACAAACTTAGGAGAGCTAGTGCCCCACCCCCATGTGCTCCTTCTAGCGGGGCACCATTGAGAGCGTCATCACTGTGTGGTACAGAGCCTGTACTGCCTCCTGCAGAAGGACCCTGCAACATATAGTGAAAACAGCCAGCAAGATCATCGGCGCCCCTCTGCCTTCCCTTACGGACATCTTCAACACCCGCCTCACCCGTAGAGCCATCGGCATTTCTGACACCTCCCACCCCGCACACTCCCACTTCAGACTCCTGCCTTCAGGGAGAAGGTATCGGAGTCTTCAGGCCCACTCCACCAGACTTACAAACAGCTTCATCCACCAGGCTGTGAGGATGCTGCCCATTACCTCCCGTCCTCTGCCCCCTGTCCCTGGACTGTGACTCACTGCAGAACATAAAAAGACTACCTTTACTGTTTTGGGTCTTGTTATATTACATGTAAATCTGCTGCTGACTGTTTTTACTGTCATATCTGCTGCTGTTGGCCATTTGCACTACTGTCCATGTGCATCTCAGTCTCAACCATCTGACAATCTTCTTGCTATTATTTGCACTACTGTCAGAATTAGCTTTATTGGCCAGGTGTGTCGGACACATGAGGAATTTGACTCTGGTACATCGGCTCTCAATGTGCATGTACATATCCCCGTGCAAGGGCCAAGTAACCAGTAAACCAGTATAAGGCTGTGTAATAACAAAATAAGCAGTATTAACAAGCCAGTAATTGTGTCACTTATTGTACATGGTTTGAGTCGTAGCCTATTAGGTTGTACTGTTTAGTTTTTATCCTAATCACTTTGACTTAGTTTTCTTATTCTTTTTAGTTTATTTTTTACTCTATTTTAGTTTCCTAAATGGAAATACTAGGTGAGAGTAACGGTATTTTGATTTTCTGTATGTCCTGCACAATTGACAATGAAAATCTTTTGATCTCTCTCTTGAAGTTCACAGGTTGGAAGCAGTGAGGACATGTTATTGCTGCTGCAGATTTTCTGTTGTCCCACTAAGTTTAACACTTGATATAATTGTTCTGTTTTGGATGTATCGTAGGGTTTCCTCTTCCATAAATGTTTAAGGATGGAAACAGTGCACACAGTTTCTCCCAGTAATGCTCAGGAATTTCCAGGCACTTGAGCAGTTTCCACACTTACAAAAGATGGATCCAACTCTATTCATGGAAAACATTTAAAACTTAATCAAATATGAAAAGGAAAACAGTGTTAAAAAGACAAAAAAACAAAAGCAGCCCGGTGGAGTTCCACCAAAGCATTACCGTTTTTTTAAAGTGTTTGACAGCAACTGTTTTTTTGTTCTCTCTAACAGCTGCTTTTGCTGTGGATTTAATAACGGCATGGTTAATTTGGTTCTTGTTTCTCCCCATCAGATGTGAACGAGTGTGACGAGATCAATGGAGGTTGTGAGGCTCTCTGCTGTAACACCATTGGAAGTTTCTACTGCAGGTGTCCTCCTGGACAGACACTGAATGACGATGGCAAAACGTGTCAAGGTGAGATCTCTGGTCTGTGTGGTTTTAAATTTAAAGGGGCCCTCTGTGAGTTATACACAAGAAGACACACACTGTAACTTCTTAAAACAGTTAGATAATGTCTTTTGTGGCTCTGGAGCCTTTTAAAGTCAGAGAACCAGGGTTATCTGAGTTAAAAGGTAATAAAACCTAAATAATATTTTTTTAAAAACAGATAAAGTCATACTTGATAAAATAGACAAGACAATGACAAATAAAATTGATGAAAAGGAGAAAATTTTAAAGCATGAATACAATAAAACGAATAACCAGAGTAAACAATGGCAATAAAACATTGTAAACAAAACCAGGCTGTTAACTGGCTGCTCTAACTAATTTCTTTGGGTGGACTATATCTCTCTTTTCCTTATCCTTGTTTTGTCTGGTCTGTGCTTTAAATTTTAAAAGTATTTTAGTATTCTAACAGCTCAGAGCATAAAAATGAAAAGTCCTGTGCTTTGGAACAAGTAAAACGCACGTGCCACCGAACCTGAGAGGCCATACTCATTTTTAGATTGGAGACATGCCAGACCATGAAGTGTTTTAAAAACAAGTAAAATAATTTTAAAATCAACACAGAAACTGACAGGCAGCCAATGTAAAGACTTTAAAACAGGTGTAATGTGTTCTTTCCTTCTGGTCCTGGGTAGCACTCGGCAGCAGAGTTCTGAACCAGTTGTGAGAGTGAGAGAACTACAAAGGCCTGCTGGAGACAAAACCGTGCATTTTTCTCCTTGTATTACTCAAAGTGAGAAATGGCCACAGTATGTTCTTTTTTTTTTAATCAACAAAATATGATTTGAAATGAAAGACGATTTAAAATTGTGATTCAGGAAATGTCAGTTATGACCATTTAAAAAAACCTCTCGTTAATTCCCCAACTTTATTGATGTGTACTACTTATTATAATATGATAGGAGATCTGTGGGAGATTTGGGTTATTATTAAATTATACATCTTTGTTGTCTGATGTAGCTTTTGTGATGTTAATTCATCTTGCTGAGAATTTCACATCTGCATTACTGGTATGTTTAATTCTTTTCACATGTAAATACTGTATCTATAAACTCAAACTAATCAACATATGTTATTTTGTCAGTTTTGCAAAATCAAGGTTTGTGTGCATTCTTTCTTTGCCATTTACTTGTGTTTGTTGCCATTTATGGAGTTTTGTTTTCAGTTTCAGTGGCTCCTTGAATGTAGACCCTGCCCTCAGTGAACATCAAAACCGGATCTTTTTAACTTGCACAACAAAGATGATAAAAGTTAAGATAAAATCTTAACTTTTGTTGTTTCAATACACAGATTGTTTGCGGAGGAAAGTGTAGTTAACCAGTCGATCATGAACCAACAAATCCAAACTGAACTGTCCCATGAGATTTGTTTTTGCTCCATTATAGTTTGATGTTTCTGATTAGGGAGTCTCTGAGTGATTGGGTTAATCAGAATAATGATTCCTCTGTACTGCAGCCAAACCTAGGGGAGAGAAGCAGGAGTGCTCTGCAGCATGACTGTCTGCTGGAGGAACCAGCGAGAGATCTGATCTTGGCCACGATTAGTGGGAGAGCTTATAGCTGAAAGTCGTCACAGCTGGCTTTCATAGACGTGCCCTCTGTCGCTGTGTATACTGGGGGAAACTGGCTACCCCTAGCATTGATATTGTAATTGTCTGTAACAGGAGTATTAGTGGAGGTGAAAGAAGCTGGATGGATGTTGTGGATTTTTAAGTTGGTGCATGTGCAGTGCTGTGTCTGCAGAAAGTAACCAGCTTTTCTTCTTCATGACTGCCTGAAGCTAGGAGGGCTGCTGCACAAAACCTATACGAGTCTGCAAGAGAGATGACATCCATTCATTTAGCTGTGATGAGTAAATGATTCTGTGGGTTGGCTCATACACAGCCACATTAATACTTTGGGGGATTCCTGTCCTTGGCAACGCGCGATATTCTTTCAGTAAACGACACCCGCTGCAGATGTTAATATGCCCATACTGCCGGAATCAGCAAGAAACAAATAAATGCATCTTTTGTTCAGTGCAGAAAAAAGTGCATTTGAGTACCGTACCCTGTGGAGGGTTTCAAGCATGGAAGCTCTAGTTAAATTCCATGTATGCACCTTTTTTTTATTTATCTTGGTATGAATAGGTAGTGATAATGGCAGCGATCAGTGTAGAGGAGGCCAACATTGACTGCTGTCATGCTGAGTGCAGTATTGCAGTGTCAACATTTTAGCTGTCATGCCAATTGAACTTTATAGCACAGGCCAACGTGACCGTGAAGGTGGAAGTAATGGTCCGACAGAGCTCGCCACTTGTCGTGAAAGTGAGGAGCGTTTTCCAAAATCAACAGGTATTTGATCTTCTTGCTAACAATGAGAGCAAAGAAAAACATCTCATTGTTGTTGGTTCTCTCCTGGGTTCTTCTGGTATTTTACTCTGATTTTGTTTCCACCCCGGTGAGTTATTTTATGGTTACAGCTCTGAGCCTATCATCTGTCTTCTGTGCTTGACCAGGCTGCTTGTTTGTCCTCAGCCGGTTGCTGTCATTGTCCGCATGATTCTGATGTCAATCTCATACTGTATGTATTATACGCGATGTGTGCAAAGTTGTGGATATTTTGGCGCTAGATGTCACAGACAGGACCTAGATCGGTTTTGGCAGGTCTGTCTGAGCTTGAGTACATCTCAGATGGCTGTGTGTAATGACAGTACTCTACAGGGGCAAGTTACAGAAATGTTAAGCAAGCATTATCAAGGGGACAACTCATAAGAAGTGAAACTCATAGTCATTGACTCTTGTGTGGGCTTTTTCTGGAAGTGATGCTGATGTGCTTTGTGCTTTAGAAGCTCTGTAAAGTGCTGCCGTGGTCCTGCTCCTGTCTTTGTATGGAAGTGTTGGCAACAAATGAGAGAGCACAGTGCTGAGCTCTGGAACAGACAATTGCACCGCATGCTCATTCCTTTCTCAGATGTTTGGATTAAAAATACTGAATCTGATTTCTGGCACTTAGAAATCTTGGCCTTCTTTAGGTGGAAGTTTTTTTTTGTTTTGTTTATTAAAATAATAATAGACATCCTTTAGTTTGTTCACATTCTTTGTTCACCAACACCTGAATAGTGTGCAGTTATAAATCTTTGTTTTTTTAATCACTTTAATAACCTTAACCTTTCATTCTTTGAAGAGGGAAATGTGGTGATTCATTGAAGGTCATTATTCACTTTTTGGTAGAACAGTCCAGAATTACCTATATGTAGTTCATACAGTCCTGAGGCCTGGATGAGAGGCAGTGTGTGGATGAGCGGGAAGGAGAAGGGGGAGGGAGAGGAGGATCTTAATGGGAGGGTGAACCGGGGACATGGAGAGAGGGAGACAAAAAAGAAGGGAGAGAGAGTAAAAAAGTAGTTAGCATGTCACTTCAGAACAGGAGAACTATTAATTATTTTTGAATAGTTGAACTAAAATATTTAGATTGTTCTGGTTTTTGCAGTAGATTTTTCAACATTTCAGCACGTTAAATTCTTTCTTTGAATATTTTGTGAGGCTTTACGCTCGAGCCATGGCTTTGTCATCAGGATGGTGGATTTTGCTCCTGCTATTAATTGAAGTGATGACATGTTTAACATCTGCTGCACACTATCCACCCAGTTACTATAGAAGGATTTGCTATAGGCCATACTGTTACCATGGATACCATGGCTACAACATGGGCTACCTGTCAGCAGGTAAGTGATGATTTCACATCTGTAGGAACTGTAGGAAAAGGTGTGGTAGTGCTTCATTGCAGCATTCTGGATCATCTTCAACAGCAGTAGTTTGCAAAGAAAATAGTCGACTGTTAAACTCTGGAGAGAGTAATGGCTTTTTATTTCACAATAAGAGAATTTTACAATTTTCAAAAGAAGCACAAAACATTACCGTATGAATATTTTCCCTTCCTACATTAATTTCACAGAGGATCATAAGTTGATTTGTGGTCACGGATATTGTCAATCTTATGTACAGTAGAACTGAACGAATGAGTAGGGCATTATTTACAGCAATTAAAGTATTTGTTTGTGGATCTCAATAGGGGGGGTCATGGCCCAGCCAGACTGGTTAATCGGTCCTGCTGATAATGTGTCTGCTGTGCGCGCTGTCTGGCACTGCCCAGATAACTTAGTCTCTGATCAGAGCGAGGGAGTATCGCTTTTATCAGCAGTGATTAGACCACATGAAAACATGGGCCATGAATCATGAGAGATGCTTGGTAATGCAAACAGGGCTACATAGCACTCAACAGATTATGTTCGTGTTATTCTGATTGACTATTTGTATGTTTGCATGACTGCACGGCTTGTGGATAAAGGCACACAGTAAAATATAATTTACATTTATTACTGCCATATTGCTGATAATCCATCTGATCTGCCTGTTATGTCATTGTTGGATGTAAAACAACGCTCTTCAAAAATACATACATACATACATACATAAACAAATCAGAAACTGACCAACGTAGTTTTCTGTGAAGATGACTCCATGCTGTAGGTCTCTGCAGGCAGAGAATTAACGCGCCTCCTGTTAAAGCCAGCGGCTGCTGAGGCTTTGGCTCGGAGCTCCAGGGGGATCACGTTCTGGATGCAGAAACCAGGCTGGAGGTGATTCACTGACTGTGCGCTGTAGTAGGCAGAGGATCAGCAGCTTCACAATGCTCGTTTCATGAAAAAAAACCACAGGATGGCATGAGGCATGGACAGAAAAAGGAAAGAAGGGCTTCTTGCTGTTTTCCTGGCTGAAGTTAATTTGAAGTTTTGCATCAGAGAAATGAGGTAAAGGAAAGTTTAGAACCGCACTTCTGGCCCAGGCAGTATATCTGAATATGTCGTGGGATATTATTGGTCATAGATGGGTTCAGCTGAAGAATACTTTTATAGCTCAGCTGTCTTGGCCTGGTTTTACTGCAGCTATTAAGTCAGTTTTAGTCCCCTTGTGCTCACATACTGTATTTTTGTTCTTACCCTAATACTTGTTTTTATTATGAAACATAGAATTTGTTTCAGAATCAGCTTTATTGGCCAGATGTATTGAACAAACAAGGAATTTGACTCCAGAACAGGGGCTCTCAATGTGTATGTACAATGCTCTTCATGTATCCTAACACTGACTTTTTACCATCATGTGCCATAACGTCAGGGTGGCAGGTCTGGGCTCTTGTATGGGTAAATCACAGGCCCCATTCTGTTTATGTGTGCACGGTGGGAACATGAAAACAGTGATGTGGTGGTGTGTAACTTCCACGATGAGGCTCGGTTATAGATTGTCCAGCGTGCACATCTGTCTCACATACTGTGACGTGAGGAGGTTACAAAGACTTGGAGATGCATGTTTAAGCATTGGCCACAAAAATACTACAGTAAAGCTGCTCTAATAAATAACGAACATCAATAATGAAGAAAACGATAACACGTATTGTGAACGGGTTTGCCTTTAGTGACACGCACATATCATTTCAACTTTGGTTCTCTGGCTTTACTGAAGCCCAAAGCTGAATATGTGCTGATGTTACTAAATCTGCTGAACGTGTGAATAAGCAACTGCTTGCTAATAATTTTGCCAAGTCAGCCTAAAATGTGATGAGATCAGTGTTGGGTTTACAGCCAAAGTCAATGAAAATCTTTTAAAATAAAAATAAAAAGGTACAGTATCAATAAAACAAGGTAAATATACTTGTATATGAAAAGATATAATAGAAATGTAGACAAAACAGCAAAAGGAAATTAAAAACGGAGTCAAAGCAACATAACATTTGTGAGATTGATCCATACCTTTGCAGTGTGGTTTAGCAGTTAACAAGGAGATGTGTAGTAATCTTATAACAGTGCAAATACATACATGTATCCATACATGTCTTCACTATCTCCAGCAGTTCTTGTCACACATGCAACAAATACATTTTTTGCCATCTGAAGAGCCTCTGTTTTGTTGTTGTGCAGCACCTTTTTACATATGTCTGACTTCCACCTTACTGGTTGCAGGGTGCCTCAATAGTCTATCATGGGTTGACACACAATTCACAGTCATCTTTACATCTGTGGGCAGTTTAAACTTTCCCCTAACTGGCATGTCTCGGTTTGTGGGAGGAAACTGGACTATGCGGCCATTGTTTCTATCAAACAACACATACACAAACAAGATAATCAAATACAAATAATAGTCTTCTTCTATAAATTATATTGCTCAACTCTTGAAAGAGTTTCATTCTGAAACTAGCTTCCTGGGGTCAGGACTGTAACAAACAGCACATTTGTCAACCAGACAGTTAATGTTGTGCCGACTAATAGTCTTTTATGGTGTGTTAAGTGTTTTTACAGAAACAAACCAGCAGCCAAAAGCCATTCACTCTCACCTGGTTTTAGTCAGCAACGTTTCTGTAACTCCTGCCATAATTGCAGTCATATTGAAACAGACAAGTAACTTGTCGCTGGTTTGGAGGTGACAAGTTAGATTTTGTCCTAATTGTTCTGATGATGACGGTGGAGGATTGGTTGTTAGCAGAAGTCCAGACAGAGGTGGGCTTCATTAATCAGCTCAGCTCTCACAGGGAGTCTTCTTTGGTAGTCGGTAAACAGTTTTAGTCTTTAACCCTTAAAATAAGTGTTTGTGAACAGTTGGCTTCCTAGTAACACAGCAGGGCAGCCGTGTTCTGCTCACCGCTACTTTCCCAGATGAAGAACCCCCTTTGGTTTGTTTGTAATCTCAACGCATGGCTGAGAGGAATGTGTGTGTTTCTCATCCTCTGATTTAAGTTTCCGTATGTTTGTTGCTCCCAGAAGCAAAGGCATTTAAATTTGGTTTTAAATGTTCAGTAGTTGTTACCGCATGAGGGATTTGTTTGTTTGAGTGTAGAATACTTTCTTTGTCTCATCTATCATCTCCATTCTTCTTGGAGTAAATCTTTATGAAGCACATCTTTAGCCTAAAACCTGCTTTTTCAGCAAATGCTTCCTTCAGCTTGGCAGCAGATGTGGGCTTTATTTTTCTGAGCAATTGTCTCTCATAATGAGAGGATTTAGGCAAATTGCCCTCATTTTTTCCTGTCTCTCTCCTTCTGCTTTCTCTTTTCTCCCTCCTTCCCTACAGATATCGATGAGTGCCAGGTTCATAACGGAGGCTGCCAGCACAGATGTGTAAACACCAGGGGCTCCTACTACTGTGAATGCCACCTGGGGTCTCGCCTGCATGTGGACGGCCGAACCTGCCTTGGTAAGCACCATTACAGCCTCATGACTGTGCTTGTATTTAATAATCAGATAATAAAAGGACACAACTGTGTTGACTGAAATAATACTGCTACGGTATCATGACATGTTGTGACTAAAGGCCCCATATTGTTTGTAGGAAGTATAGTTAAAACATGAAAGTGAAAATTAAAAACCATAAGATCAATAAACAGCTGTAACATAATGATGAAGATGATCTGAGGTCTCATTCCTAATCCAATAATGAAGAGAATATGAATGCCACTTAGTCAGCATTCGCATAAACAATGAAAACACTGTTTCTGGAGGAATGAGCTGCAGGAAGGTTTGGAAGTATTATTTTGGTCACTATTTCTATGATGTGCATCCACATATGGACACTTCATCATGTAGATGACTGCTTTGATAGTGACTAAGAGCATTATTGTGAGATGATTCAAATAACATTTGCTGGTAAAGCCACACTCAGTAGAGTGTGTGTGTGTTTTTTTTTTATTCCTTTGGCAGCTATCTTGTAGAAAACAGTTGCTGTGGGTGAAACAGTTCAAATGACGTGTCCTGGAGAATGTTTTTTTTACTAAGACTATAGCTAATCATTTACTTGCCAGATTACTTTCCTGATTAATCATTTGTTCTGCAGAATGCCAGAAAATAGTGGCATGACAAGATTCATAAAGTAAACTGTTTTGATCGAACAGTAAAAAAAAAATCAATATATGTTCTCAAGACAAAAAAAATACCTTAAACTCTCTTACTTGAGAAAATTACAATTGGTAGTTGTTAAAATAGCTTGTGCCTGTTCCTTATTAATAGGTACAAATACGTATATTAACATATTCCTTTTTCTGTGGTTTTCTGTCAAGATCCACTTTGTTAGTTTGTCCTGTAAATCCTCCAATACTGTACTTAATCTCGCTTGAAATCACAAACCTGATACATTAACATTTAAGAAACTAAGAATAGCACATAATAATACTGTTACAAGTCGGTCCTGCAGTCAAAATGTCACTTTAGGTAGAAGAACAAAGGTCATCAAAATGTACATCACATTTAATGTTGCAGTATGTGCAGGTGGAGTTAAGGTTAACTACCTTATATGCTTGTAATTTGATCTCTGGTAGGAAAAATCACAAACTATCCAACAGTAATTCAAAGTATGATGATTATACCGTGTTTTGTTTTATCAGTTTGATTCTGAATAATAACTAGAGTTATCAAATGTAGTGGAGTAATATTTCCCTCTAAAATGTAGTGATGACAAAGTAGGAAGTAGCAGAAAATGAAAATACTCACGTGTACACATACCTCAAAACTGTACTTAAGTACAGTACATGAGTAAATGTACTCAGTTACTTTCCACCACCACTTATGAGGACGTGCTGTTCATTTTCTACTAGTGTTACATTATATAAGTGATTATAGTAAAGCAAAGGGACAGATGTTATGAGAGAAGGTGGAAATGTGGTCTCGCTGCTTTTGTTATGATTTCAGACTTTTCCTCCATTACATTTTGCATATGTGCTATTGAAACACTCAGATAAGGCTCCATTCCTTAAATCTGTGCTCTTGCTTACTCTTGACCTCTGCAGTGTTTATTCAGTACCTGTATGTTGTTTTTGTCATGCCAGATAATTATCTTTTTCAGACATACACCAGAAGGAGAAAAGAGTATAAACCTGGCACTAGTTTCTGCACCCAGGAATGTATACAGAGCATCCTGTCTGACATGTGTAGAGCTGAAATCATTGTGTTTCTTGGCTACACAAAGCAAAGTTGTTTCTTTATCTTATAGAGCCGAAACTGTAGCTGGGACCCGACTGTCCCTGAGAGGCTCTTGTGTGACAGCTCTTGCATGAAGAAGGTGCACGACTGATAACATTAATAATCAGTGTGCACATGTGGACACTGATTATTAACTCCAGGTGACTCCAGGTGAAGCTCATTTTGTTGAAACCCAGCAATGATGAGCTGCAAAATGTGTCCGTGTTCACAAATTAATCCAGTGTTGAAATCAACTGAAATCTTGCTTTTTATGCAAGTGAATAAAAGGATTTTGCACCAGACAGCGTGACCACATAGATACTGGATAAAGGACAACACATACCAATCAGCACAGAGTCATAGGGAGAAAAAGAAGAGCAGATGTCTTCAAATCAGTTCAGTCTCAGCTCTTCTTTTCTTATCCAGCTCTTGAACTGCCAGCAGAGGTCACATATATCCCACACACTTGGTGTGTGGCTGCATAATGTTTGAGCTGGAAAGCGCACTGCAGTTTGACATGATGAATGGATCTTGACTCCGGCCTTCAAGTATGGAAAAAAAACCCTTCTTTGAGAATAGTGGGCTGTTCGGCCTCTACCTGTTTTCTCTGAAGAGATGGAGTCCAGGCATCTACCAGGTTTTCATCTGTTGCTAAGCGCAAAGGAAACACAGACGTGGAGGATGAATGAGCTGGCTCTGCCCTCAACCTCATCACTGTTGTCCACCACAGAGGCCCTGCTGTTCAAATTGCTCTGTGATTTTTGGCCGTTCTGTGGTGACGGATCTCTCACGGCTCAGAGGTGTTCTCTGAGGACAGTGGTCATGACCTCTCTGAGAAAGATTCCTTTACATGTGACACTGCAGTCAAATGAAAAGTCAGAAAGCCTAATATGAAGCTGCAGTGTGGACATTTGGAAGTGGACATCTTTCTGCAAATATGCCAGTTTTTTGTCTAACTGTCTTTCTGTCCCTGCATGTCAATATAGCCATTTTTTCCCCACTACAGCGGTCCATTCATGTGCCATCGGCAACGGAGGCTGTGAACACCACTGTGTGCAGCAGTCTGCCACTCATTTCCACTGTCGCTGCAAGCCAAATTACGTGCTGGTGGAGGATGGCAGACATTGTAAAGGTGAGTGCCCGTGTTTTCAAACTCCGGCATCAGGCAGCCCTCAGTACACAGTGACACAAGACAAAATTAGGATTATTACATACATGGATGGGCTCCAATAAAACTGAGTCCTTTGGAAGAGGTGGGAATCTGCATATTTGATCTGAACATTACAAACACATTGCCTACATCTGCTGCCAGTTGGAGATGTCTGACAGATTCTGTGTTGCAGCAGAACCCCC